GAGCATGATCAAATTTCAAAATTTTCACCGGGGGGGGCTGGGAGAGATTCTTGGAAGCTCTGTAGGTCTCTCCTGGTAATGGAGCAAAACTCGCCGATAGTGGAGCAAAATGGAGCAAAACTCGGAGAACAAAATGAGCATGATCAAATTTCAAAATTTTCACCGGGGGGGGGGGCTGGGAGAGATTTTTGGAAGCTCTGTAGGTCTCTCCTGGTAATGGAGCAAAACTCGCCGATAGTGGAGCAAAATGGAGCAAAACTCGGAGAACAAAATGAGCATGATCAAATTTCAAAATTTTCACCGGGGGGGGGGGGGCTGGGAGAGATTCTTGGAAGCTCTGTAGGTCTCTCCTGGTAATGGAGCAAAACTCGCCGATAGTGGAGCAAAATGGAGCAAAACTCGGAGAACAAAATGAGCATGATCAAATTTCTGAATTTTCACTGGGGGGGGGGCTAGCGTTAATTCAGCCCCCCCACCTAATAGGCCACATAGTCTCTCCACTGTAATGGAGCAAAAATCGAAATTAGTGGAGCAAAATGGAGCAAAATGAGAGCAAAATTATGGGATAATTTTCATCCAGAAATTTTCTATGGGGGGGCTAACTTAACTGACCCAAAATATCCCTATTTACTGTACTACCACAGCATATACAAAAACAATCAGCAGGCTAACTCTCACGCGCATCTTTTCTGCGCACGCCGCCATTAGGGGATACCATTTTGTCATAACGCTGTCATTAAACGGCAGGAGTGCCGAAATTTTATTTTATTTGTTTATTTCTGACGGAGGTCATAGGCGTGCGGTGTAGAGCAGAATTTTAGCTATGATTTTCAAAATGATTTTGATATATTCGTGTTGTCATTTATGGTGTTATCTGTTATCTTTCTTGTATATTCAATAATAATAATAAATTAGTAATTATAAACATTATTATATGTAAGTAATAATAAATTAGTTTATTTAAAGCCAATACGACTCTGTGACAGGAAAGAAAGAACCTAAATTATCGTTAATCAGACCCTGTTTAGTATCCCAAAATGGCCGCTAGTGACATTTTGACGATGAATTCCTTTATTACACGGGCTGTCACTCAAGTTAGCCTGCTGATTGTTTTTGTATATGCTATGGTACTACTATGCAAACAAACATATCTTGTCCATAGATCTTGTCAATGGCTTGACAAGTAAAAAAAGACCAGCAGCTCCTTTTAGACAGCGTTTTTTTCATACAGGAGGGGTTCATTTATAAGTATTTTCATCATTTATAGTAGTGTATAATAAAAATAATGAGAAAATAATTAAAAACTGGCATAAATGAAAAGTTTTAATGCATAATTGCTTTTATTTTGAAAAAGGTAAAACTCTCTTGTTGTGAAAGTTGGGTGATTTCACTGATTTCATTGAGTTATCACGTAAAATGTGATTTTTTCAACTTTGGAAGCCTTTGGAGAACAAGCAAAAGATAACAACTTGGCATTCGCATTATTCTACGATCGTGTGAGTTGAAAAAAAAAACAGTTTAAAGACCATTCTGTCACTTTCTATTCAAAAATAAATTTTGATCCAGGATTCTAAAGTTTCTTCAAAAATGTTCAAATTTGATGTTTTCATACACATCATGATCCGCAGATCCCAAAAATGCGAAAAAATTCTTGGGATGCCATTCGAAATTACGAAGTTAGCAGTGGCGTAACTTCAGATTTTGGACCCGGGGGCAGAGTGGTTTGGCGAGGCCCAATTACAATATTGCAGTGGCGTATGCAATATTCTGTTTGTCTAAGGGTCAAATTATGGACCAACTGGCCGACCAATGGGATTACAGATTGCGTTTCAATCCTTCAGATTGCATACCTGACTGTTTATCCGACCGGCCCTAACTTATAACAACCCGGAAATAATTCTTTCGCGGAAGCCGCCTACCATCTTCCACGCTAACAGTTAATATTACCGATCGCGATTTTACTTTTCCCGGAATACCTATATTTTCCATATAAATGTGAGTAGTAAATAGGTGAGTCAGCAAAATTTCTGATAATGATACAATACCATCATCTCCATTGTATCATTATTTAGAGTAGCCTGAACTGGTCTTCCACATGCTTCGTTGAAGAAAAGTTCAGGCTACTCCTAATAATGATACCTATAATGGAAGTGTCGGTATCAAAAGGCTGCCCACAGGACAGAGCTGTCACAAATACTGGTAAATAGTATTTCAAATACCAAGTATCAATTACGGGATATTCATGTTGCAAATACAAATACTAAATACTTAAAATTTGAAAAGTACTTCAAGTTTCAAGTACTTTAATTTACTACTTAATTTTTTCAAGTAAAATAATTCAAATACTCTGTAAGTATTTCAAGTACTTAATTAAATATTTGAAATATTAAGAAGTACTTCAAGTATCCACTAAAAAGGAATTCAAATTATTCAATGATTTTTTTTAAAAATTGTATTGAATTGAGCTGAACATATACAGGGTGTTCCTAAACATCATGTACAAACGGAAGGGAATGATTCTTTGGTTTATTTTATGACTAAAATTTCTAATCAACATAGGTCCGCAAACGCTTTGTTACCGCTCTACAGGGTGTTCAAATTTTAATGTATTCATATTGAAAATAAGCAGAATATGGCGGCGAAGGTGTGGCTTAAGTGTAGATTCCTATTGAAAATGAGCAAAAATGTGACGGCGGGACCTCTATTGTCGTCACTGTAGTTTAGGTAGAAAAGGTTTATTGAGTCACTGTAGTTTCATCTAGCAAATTATACAGAGATTTGTCTTTTGATTTTTTTCTCGATAAGGGTCGGTCGAAAAAACTACAAGAGATCAAAAAGTTCCTAAATAAGGTAGAAAAATTATTTTGTTTTTTAGAATCTACCAGCAATACCAGCAGCGCATCGCAAAAAAGTTCAGAGCCAGAAAAGGGGGCATGACCCCTGAAAAACATCACCCTGTAAATTCTGGCTAACGTTTGACACGTGCAATCATTTAGCTCCTATTGCGTAACCTATAATCCGAATTTGAGCTAAATCCCTTAAAAATTGCAGGAGCTATAAAGAAAAAGCTAAAAAAATATTGAAATTTCAACACCCCGTAGATCGGTAACCAAGCGTTTGCGGACGTATGTTCATTAGAATTTGCAGTCATAAAATAAGCCAAAGAATCAACCCCTTCCGTTTGTACATGATATTTAGGAACACCTTGTATATTGTAATACCTCTAAGAGATTCTAGATTCCAAGATTCCAGTTGCAGATTGTAGTTACTTTCAATTTAAAGATTTAAAATTTATCTAGAAAAGGTTAATTAAGAAATAAAGTGCAGTGGAAATGTTAAGCCTTCGAGGTGTGTTTACTATTTCTGCAAAACTAAAGTCTTTCTACAGGAGCTGATGACGGAAGACACGTATTGTACCTATGAAAAACTAATTTTATGACAGGAAACCTATCCAAGGATTTTATATCTATACTGGTATCCTCTGCATATTGAATAATTTCCAGTTCGAATTTTCTTTTATTGTTATTTTAAAGACTCTCCAGGGAGTGGGAACCATCCAGTTGAATAAAATCGTCAGTCATATCGGCTGTAGGACATGTTAATTTGAAATTTGGTGAAGTATTTGAATTACTTTCTGAGGTATTTCATATACTTTTTATTTTCTGGAGTATTTGAAATATTTTAAGTATTTTGAGTACAAATATCCAGTATTTGAATTACTTTTTTTGTAAATCCAAGTACCAAATACAAATACTTTATTTAAAGTAATTGCAGAATCAAGTACAAATATTCAAAAACAAAAGTATTTGAAATATAGTACTTCAAATACTAAAAAGTAATTGAAATACATTTTCCAAGTTATTCATTTTTCATTTACTGCAGGGAGGGCGGCGCCCCAGAGCCCTTTATTACGAGCCGCCACTGGCTTCCTGTCCATCTCCTCCAGTTTGGCCATTACATCATTAAGTGTAACTTTCGGTTGGTTTGAGTTAAAGCCAGCAGAGCCACCCTTATTCTGACACATGAAACCTTCAAATAAATTATACATATATAAATATATATATAAACAATGGAAGTTTCTTGGGGTATCGGTCGCTGTGAAGGGCTAAGGAAGAAAACTCTCTCACCTAGTATCCATCATATTAAAAGAAAAAAAAAATTACACGAAGTATTTTGAAAGTTATCAACAAAAAACCGATTTTCAGAGGCGTCCTTTAGGGGCACGTAACTTCGTAGAGGGGGCCGTAGGAATTTTTTTTTATAGGAAGTTGTCATGTTATTTTTTTGTGTTCTATCTGAATCCGAGAGATTGCCCACATATTCTGGGACACCCTGTATAGATTTATTCAAGTAATGTAGTGCGAAATCAGAGGATAGCTTTGTTTTTGTTTGTCTTTTGTATTTTTGTAGTTCATCATCTAAGTTTGTAAAGAACCCTTTTATTTTTTATCATTACAGTGTCCTGAAGATGCAAATAAATTTTGCGAAACGTCGACTTTTTTAAAAACCAGACTTCTGCGTTTTTTTTTTCCGATCCTACCCAAACAATTGAAAATACTACATTGAGAACTTACTAGGATCGACAAAACCACATTATTGTATAGTAACAAACAGATCATTCTGAGACAATAATTGATCATGCAATTATAGACAGGAATTCGAACTTAAGATTTACTCTTGATGTGGAAAATAACCACAGGCGTTTATCAATCACTGTAGACGCTAATATTAAAAAATACTCATCAAAAACTAAATATGAGATTAAAGGTGTGGATCACAAAGAATTTGAAAATTTGTTTGGAGAGGGGCTTGCGGTATCGAATGTCGAGTCATTTCAGGTACTTTCAGAGTTAGTCTGGGATTGTAAATGTAAATCCGATTTGTAAAATTTAAAAAAAAACCCGTGAAAATAATACTTGGATGAATCTGGAGGACTATGTAATTATGTATTGTTCTGTTTTAGAATTTTATAGGTTTGTAAAATTAATAATGATCAAACTGAGGTAAGTGAGCATCAATATTTATTATATACAGCTATGTATTGACACTTGAATAATTTCCTAAAGCCTAGTTTAGTAATCAACCCTTCTGAAGCTGCGTTCCCAAGGTGAACTGAACCACAACAGTCGAAACCTGCTTCGGCCAAACTGTTTGCCATGTGCTTTACAACCAAACTACCATAGCCTTTCTTTTTGTGCTGTTTCAAAGTTTGCAGAGCAGTCATTTGACCTAAAATAGATTTTCAATTAGGATGGGAAACTAAACAAATCCATAAGTGAAACGCGAGGCACTGAGTCACATAACATACACAGGCAAAATGGCTTTTTAATTCAACAGAATTTTTCTGTATTACATTGCCAATTATGCATAATAATAATTGTAAGTTACACATGTCGGCAACATTGTAAACATAATGTTATAAATAAGAAAACTAGTGAAAAATACATTCCCAATAGGAAAGATGATTTTGGTAGCAATCTTAGAATGTAGCAATGAATGTTGAATGTTTTATACCCGCCTTTCCCCACTAGATATACGCTAATACGCACCGAAACAAGAAGAGACCACCCATGAAACCAGTTGGTTGTTAGATTTAAGATAAACTCCCGAGCCTGGGCTCGGGCTCAATTTAATGAAATCCAAGAACTTTTGTTCCGATTCTGGATAGCGTATTTTCCAGTTTTCATTGATAATTCTTAAATCTTGTGGCTGTAAATGTTTAACATATACATCCTGGTTATCCAAAGGAATTTTTGGAGCTTTTTCCTTTTCCAAAACCCACAGACTTAAAGTTTCATCAAAAAACTCGTCTTCATGTAATTTGTGTTTTTGTTCTGCCAGCAGTTGCCTGATTTTTGGATAAAAATTCTCGTGCACCGCATAGAAAAGGGTGAAATTTCTAGCAGGATCTTCAAGATATTTGAATCTATTGGTTTTTGTGAGGGCTTCCATTAAGTTTTTTCCAGTTGAGTCTAAGCTGTGTAGGACTATGTCGTGACCGTGATTCTACAAAATTTTCATTTAATTCAGAGAGATTCAAGCTAAGTAGGTACCTACTCACCGGCATTGAAGCGATAAAAGTGCCATCCACTTGCCAAGAATCATCGTCAAGTGTATAAACCCTCACAAAATCCGTCATACCTATTTTTTTAGCCTTCAGACAGTTGCAAAAAAAACTGTACAAGTGGGGCAATTCTGTCTTGTGGTTTTCGTAGATTTTGGCTAGTTTTTCCATATCTGCATCGGACAGTTCTACCAAAATATCTTTCATTTTGCCAGCTTAATCTGTATGATTAACTTAAATATTGTATTTATTTTATAGGACTTGTATCAGGCCAATGAACGATTCTTTATTGACAATGGGAACAGAAACTTACCTGATAACGATGAATTGGTTTATTTCAACGTTTCACTTTTATCTTATCATAGCAAAAAATAATGTAAACAAATCCAACTATAAATGAATTATATTTTCCATTCAGAAACTTGTATTTTAAAAAAACATTTATTTTATTGATTAGAATACAGAGGTGAGAAAAGAAAATATTGTCAACCCTATATAAGACCACGAGCTATAACCAAATTCAATACCTACACTGAACCACGTGTTAAAACAAATAACTGCAACTAGGCAAGACACAACCAGACTAATTAACCTAATTATAGTCAGTAAATATTGGATATAAAAGCCACTGCCACACTATGGCAAATCAGTCGTGTCTCAGCGCTTTTCTGTATCACTAGGTCTCAACACGTCTCAAAAGTTGGAAGCTATCTGGCCGAATAGGGATTGCGTATCGTATCTCTGTTCGAGCAGATTTCAACTGACGACCCAGACTCTGCGCTACAGTACAGGCTTCCTAGCTTCTATTGTGGTGTTGGTTTGGTTTTCTTAGCAACTGCTGACCACAAAGATCAAGCTTGGGCTTATACCCGACAGATTCGCTCAGGTGCCCTTAGATCCTTTTTAGCCCGAAAGGACGTGCTGGCTTGGGATGGTAAAAATATGGTAATACTTGTGTTTCCACTCTAAATGTAATCTCTACCCTAACATTAAATATATTATATTAATCTAGAGTTATTCTGGTGTTCCCTTTCCCTTCCCGTTCTGATTTTCAGGATGGATAGTCGAGCTACATAGCGAAGCAACAGAGGCTTCGTGACAATATGTGGATCAAATTGCTACAGCAAAAGCAGTGGCGTAACTTCAGATTTTGGACCTGGGGGCAGAGTGGTTTGGCGAGGCCCTGTTTGTCTTAAGGCCCCCACATTTCGTTTTTTTTTCATTCGTTCGAATCACTGCGATTCGGAAAGTCGTGCTAAATCGTAGAGCTGTTTTGCCCACACACTATGCGAATCCCATATTTATCTTCAGTCGTTCACACACGATGGACAGAAGAAAATTATTAGCAGTGGCGGTGGCAGGTTCAGTTTTAAGATAGTAATATACTCTAAAGACTTTATGCGCCATAAACAAGGAAACTGTCTATACAAATCAATCAAATCTATGATACTCTTTTCATTAAGGGCATTTTGATCTATGTTTAGTAAAAATTTGAACACACACACAACAGAGTCCTTATTTTTGGAACAGGGGAGCAGCGTTCCCAGGAGAACGAGTGTTCTGTCTTTGTTACTTAATATATTATCACTTATTGAGAAAGACGGAACACTCGTTCACCTGGGAACGCTGCTCCTCTATTTCAAGAATAAGGACGCCGGTGCCAACTCTTCGCTCGCCGCTCATATAAAAAACATGACGATTTTGAAGGAATTTCCCCACACCCTTCAGTTTGATCCGTCAAAAGACAAACCTAGGGCCAAATTATGGACCGAGCGGTAATGTCATTGGCAAATTTATCCAGCTGCGTCAAGTTAGCCCCCCCACATTCGAATTTTTTAAAAAAATTGCAACCACTTACTGTGCTCGAAGTATGCTTTACTGTGCCGATGATATTTTGAACTGTGCCGTTTCGATAACAAAGCTATAAGAAAAAATAGATGAGGGGCTAAGTTGACGCTCAGCCCCCCCAAAATTTTGGAAATCAGATGAACTCAAAAAGGATTCTTATCCAATCTGAAGTGTACTAACTCTGCTGTATCAGGTTTTCTCAAAATTTACATACTTATTCGGTTATTTTCCGACAAAATCCTACTAGCTAACTTGGCACTCAGCTCTGAAAATTAACATACATTCCTGTTAATTAAATTTTACCAGATTTTACGAAATTATAATAATTTTCCTAGTGATTTACGATTTACTCGTTTTTCAAAGATAACGATAAAAGAACTATCAGATCAGTTTTTTATCGCACTGCGCATGCCTGCACCACGACCAGCATTTCTCAAGGCAGTGTTTGTAAGGTTAACTCTTTAAAAGCTGCTCTAACACACCCGAACGATACGGAGTCAACATTTGCTCTAACTGGTTGTACCCGAATACCCGAACGACTTAAGTAGGGTTGCCACCTCTCCGGAGTCTACGGGTTTTTGAATTTGGTCTCTAGGCTCCGGATTACTGGGTGTTTTCTCCGTGTAAAACCGCATTTAACAAAAAAAAAACGCATTTAAGAAAAAAAATAGGATTTAGCAACAGCGCAATCCTGTTTGTGCAAATACCGTTTCTCTCGGAGAAATTGAGAAATTATCCGACTCCGACACGCACGTTGGTGATAGACAGCCCACGAACTCAATGCTGCATAATCTCCCTCAAAGATATTAAACACAACTACACGTCCGCGATTTTTGGAATCAAGACCATGATGTTGCACCGTTACTGACGTCATCAACGGTGTCGTTAACTGTTTGCGTCAGCGGTCGTAGTTTAGAATACACATTTATGAAGAGAAATAATATTTAATTTTGATTAACATAATAGGCAAAGAGGAAGATATAAACAAGATCTAAAAAGGAGTTGTTTTAGATTGCTGATTAATGTACTAAAACCATGTATGCATAAGCCAAAAGCCTGCGGAATCATAGTCTGTGGTGCAAACACCCTACTTCAAGGCGGGAAACGACACGCTGCCTACGTTTCACTGGTTCTTTGGATCTTTGACGTGGTGGGGGGCTTGAGATTTGATCTACACAGGTCTTATCCTGTTTAGTGTGTAATATTCTTGAATCTTCTTCTCCAACCGTCTCAACTCCCAACCTCAAGCAAAGTTTCCTCGAGCAACATCCGGTGATGCTGGGGGGGGGGACTTGTGTATATACATATAGACAGACATTAAAGTGTAATGCATCTGTTGCATTGTAGATCTGCAGATTTTCTTTTTTAGCTTTCTTTCAATATTGTTTTTTTTTTCTCCGGTTCAACTTACTTTCGAAGGTGGCATCCCTACTTAAGAGCTAAAAGTGTTGAAAAAGTAGAAGGAGCTGCCAATCCGAACCGAGCTCCGGCTGCACTGGTAGCAGATGGGACTTGGAACGCAGACTAATGTATAATGGCCGTTTGCACACCGACCATTTTGAGGAAGCCTTAAGCCTAGTACTCATAACTCCGAAATTCGCACTTTTTTGACATTGCTTCGACAATTTGACGTTATATGCGTGAATCAAACGTCAAATTGTCAAAAAAATGCGAATTTCGCAGTTGAGTAGTAGGCTTTAGCGATAAGTATTCCTTAAAGTGACATTTATCCATGTAGAAATGTCATTTTAAGGAATACTTATCGCTAATGTTTCCTTAAAATGGTCGGTGCAAACGGCCATAAATCACCTATCCATTTTGGAGAGTGTTCCGTTCCCAACCCTGGATAACTGGTCTGTAGATCTTCGGTTGACAGTGATTCAATTGAAGACATGCAGTGACTTTGGAACTTTGTGATTTAGGCATCCCACAAGGTTGCTTGAAAGTGATAGGTTGCCTGATAGCTTTTATGACTGTATCTTAAGCACAATGCAAATCTCCATAGGAACCACCCGATGACGTCATCTGTTTGCCCTTACCAAACAACCTATTACAAGCAAATAATATTTAGGAACCTTGGGCATTACATTCTTCGTATTCTCTTTTCGACTTCCAATATGCTTTTTCAAACTCACAGGCACAAAAGTTGTCAGAAATGAGAAATAATACAGAAAATTATAATATAACATAAAATAAACAAAAAAATAATAACCAACCGGAAAAACGGAACGGTGACAATACGATAGCCGACAGTTACCGAAAAACCTTTCAACGAAATCAATGTTTGCTGGGTATCCGGCTATGCGCTCCTACATCACTTATCCGATTACGATGAAACTTTGGTAGGTTGTTATGGCCATCCCAAGGAAGGTTTGTGGATAGGTTACGCATCTCGGAAAAAGAAATTAATTTTGAATTAATTGTTAATTTAATTGTAAACAAACTCATTCACATTACATAACAACATAAACCAACTTTTTTTTGACAGCATGAAATAACGTTGCTATATTTCATTTATTTAGGCTTGCATTCAACCGACGTAACTTTATTATTTCTTGAATTCGAGAACGGCTGGACCGATCTCAAAGGACCCCGCACATTTCTTATGGAAAAGTGATCTATGTGGAATTTTGCTGAATTTTTGATATTGTGTATAGGGAGTCGTCCTTAACAAAAGTGATCATTGCGCTAATGTTCAATACCCAACAGTTTTCAAGATATCAATTAAAAACTTTTTTAATAATACTCTTCAGTATGACGTCACTCACAGCAACGAAAATTATTACTATCCTTTCCACTTTTGACTTTGACTTTACTCTTCTCCTTTTAACATCAAGAAAAAAAAAAGATAGCGATAGCGATTAGTGACAAATAGGTAGGTATGTAAACAACACCTAGCTCCTGCCGCCATCGTCAACTTCATGTCATGATGTCTGTCATATAGCGATATCATTTGTACCTGTTGTTGTTTTTTTTATTTCCTAAATGTTAAAAGGAGAAGAGTATTGGCGAAATTCCTGTACCAATAGATGGCGCTAAATTACGCGAAAAATAGCAATATGTCTGCCGAACTCAGTGAACAACAAAGCCAGTTTTTTGAGGTTAGTTTTTGTTAGATTGTGTTTTATGGCGTTTTTGTGATTTATATAACAAAAACAATACATAAGAAGAATACTATTCTGTAGAAAATTGAAAATTTCCAGAAACAATGCCGGGGGCCAAATGCAAACTTGCTTTGTTGTTCACTGAGTTTTGAGTACCAAAGTTGATCATAGATGTCGCCTACTTCGCGACCTGTCGCGAATAAGTATAGGTAGTCAAAGTCAAAAGTGAAAAGGATAGTTTAAATTTTCGGTGCTGAGAGCATACTGGTGACGTCATACTGAAGAATATCACATTAAAAAAGTTTTTAATTGATATCTTGAAAACTGTTGGGT